CCCCAAAACCCCAAAACCCCAAAACCCCAAAACCCCAAAACCCCAGCTTGATATTAAAATAGAATAAAGCTTAAATTTATTTACAAATAAAATGACTGAAGTCATCACCCTCGGAATCGGCGGAGCCGGAGTCAGCGTCTGCCACAACCTGTGGGACCACTACATCCAGGAGAGAGACAACAACCAGGAATACGAGAGTAGGCTTCGGGGTTATTAGGTAGAGTACAAACAAGCCGTCAACTTCCATGAGGATTCAGCAGGGAGTTATGTCCCCAGAGGGCTCTTCATTGATACTGGTACGCCTTGGAATGAACTTTAGACCCAACTGGGACTGATTTAGTGCAAGAGTCAGCCATTAAGCACTGGTTCAATGGTGAGGTTGGAGTTGATATTATAGACGACCATTATTCAACAGGGAGTGATGGAACTGGCACCAATTATGGAGAAGGTAAGAACTCCTTCTCAGTTTTAGGAAGATACACTTCTGGAAGAGAACAAATGCCAGAGATACAGGATAAATTGAGAAAGCAAGCTGAATCTTGTGACTCTTCTCCAATTGTTTTTATGATAGCATCCTCTGGTGGAGGAACTGGAAGCGGGCTCTCAGATCTCATATGACAAGATATAAATGATGATTTCAAAATTATCAGATATAATATATACCAGCCTCCTAATACCATTGGCCCTGCTAATGAGTGCTTTAATAGTATATACTCCTCGTGGTTTTCTCAAGAATTTGCAAAATTCAGTATCAATATCGATAACGAGCAATGAACAAATATTCTTAACAGATTAGGAATCTCTGACCCAACTTACGATGACATAAACACTTTGATTTCAACCAATATTTCAATGGTTACAGGTATTTTGGCTGAACTATATTTAGCTGGCAACAGATTTGGAAGCAATAATTCCTACTTCGCCTCCTTAGAGACAAGCATGATCCCATATCCAAGTAGGCTATAGTCTCTAAGAATGCCATGTTGACTCAACTTTAGGGATTAATTTCATGACTTCAAGCTTTGCGCCTTGGGAGTATACTCCTACAGCAACCAAAGAATTTCCTTCAGTGAGCGATATCACAGAGGACTTATTCAAATGTTCGAATTCTTTGATCTCAACCAGTAGCCAGGAATCTAAAATTATTGCAACAAACATTAGTAAGCCTCCTGTTTAATAAATAGGTTACTTTGGAGATGTCCAGACAGATGATATCAAAAGTAAGATATCCTGAATCATCTCTAGGCTCTGTTGAAAATTTCAGGAACTCAGAGCTAAACACCTTCTGTGACGCCACCAATAAAGGAATCGGAACCACCAAGGTTGAGTTAGGTGAAGGCTGCACTAGGTTCAGTAACAAGTAAGCTCCCAACCTCCTTCTAATAGTCATGGGACTATAGGATCACTGATACACTGTATAATATGAAGAGAAGCGCATGCATATTGATGAGCTCTCAAAGAGCAATAGAGATACTAGAAAGAGTCTCTAAAACCTTCGATAAGCTATATCACTCAAGAGCATATGTCTTTACATACGTAGGGGTCGGCTTTGAGTCAGGAGAGTTCTCAGAATGCAGAGAATGCCATGCAGCCACGATTAAAGATTATGAAGAACTTGGTATAACGATATCAGAGGGAGATGATGATAGCTTTGATTAAATATCTTCTTTCAATCTTGATTGAAAAATAAGGGGTTTTGGGGTTTTGGGGTTTTGGGG